GGCGTGAGTGTGGTGCTGTCGCGAAAGAAGGAGCGGGAAGCACCTGAGTCAAGTGTGAAGGTGTGCAAGGCCTCAGCAGGCGCAGTACCAGAGAGAGCAGACTCACCAGCACCTGGAGCAGCAGACTAACTAGCACCTAGAGTAGCAGCCTCACTAGCACCTAGAGCAGCAGCCTCACCAGCACCTAGAGCAGCAGACTCTATACCTGGGTCGGGCGGCACACACAGGGAACAGGCACCCTCAGCACTAGTAGGCAATGCATACATGGCAGTGAGGATAGCATCAAAGTCTAGAGCAAAGATATCCACTCTCTGCGTCAGCAGCTCCACCCAGCTGGGGAGCTCAGCCGCGTCACCAAACTCTCTACGCCAGGCGTCGCTCAGACCGGCGAAGCAGCGGGACTGTGTGTGACCCATCGTCCCGCAAGTTTGACCAGCCCGATAACCTGTGCGAATGACGTACGTGCAGCGAGCAGTACTCCGAGACCCTCTACTCTGACCACTCACGCAGCTGCAGGGGCGTAAGGGTCTCGCGCCGACGTCGCTGGAGCTGTATCTGGCCACCGCCAGAACCTCCCCACCGAGCAGCTCCGCCTAGACTGCTACTGCGGCCACCGCCACCACTCCCACTGCTGCCACCACCGCCACCACCACTCCCACTGCTACCACGAAGAGACGCCATAGTGGAAAGGCAAGGCGGCGAACAGGCACTAGGGTAGGTCGAGGCGGCGCACTGTCAGGAAAAGGCGGCGCACGGCCAGAAGGGCAGTAGCAGGCAGCAGCAAGCAGTAGCTCCTAGGACAGCAGCACCTACGGCTCCTCTTTTTTTATATATATAATTATTTATTTATTTTAGGGTTTGGCAGGGCGCACTGGGCGCTGCAGAGGCGGCTCGCGGGCTGCAGGGGTGGCTCGCGGGCTGCAGGGGCAGTGCGCTGGCTGCAAGAGGCATGTGCGCTGGCTGCATGGGCGGTTCGCGGGCTGCAGGGGTGGCTCGCGGGCTGCAGACGGGCGGCGCGCGGGCTGCAAGGGTCTGCGCGCGGGCGGCTTGCACGGGGCGGCGCGACGCGGGGCGGGCAGGGGCGGTGCGCAGGCAGGCAGGGCGGACGGGCGTCGCGGCGGGCTGGGGCAGCCCGCTCTGGCGACGCGACGGGCACGGGCATGGCCGACGGGCGACGCAACGGGCTGCAGGGGCGCGCGACGCGACGGGCTGCAGGGGCGCGCGACGGGACGGGCTGCAGAGGCGCACGGCGCGGCGGGCAGCAGGGGCGCGCGACGCGATGGGCAGCAGGGGCGCTTACCAGGGGCGGGTGCAAGGCAGGGCCGCGATGGGTGGTTAGGTCAGGGCTGCAACGGGGCGGCTGTAGGGCAGGGCCGCGACGAGGCGGCGGCAGAGCAGGGCCGCGACGAGGCGGCAGCAGTGCAGGGCTGCGACAAGGCGGCTGCAGGGCAGGGCCGCGACGGGTGGCGGCAGGGCAGGGCCGCGACGGGCGGCGAGGTTAGGGCCGCAACGGGGGGCGGCAGTGCAGGGCCGCGACGAGCGGCTAGGCCAGGGCCGCTACGGGCGGCAGTAGGGCAGGGCGCGCGACGGCGCAGGTGAGGCAGGCGGGAGGCACGCTTCGGGTAGGGCAGGAAGAAATCATCGTGGTGGGTCAAAAAAAAAAACGTTCCCACTAGGGAACCTGCTCTGAAACCATGTGAAAGATAGAAAACGAGAATGAATTGACTAACAGCAGGATGGGTACAAAGCTAACCCTAATTGGGTTGTATCCTATATGGGCTACCCCACTACAGCCTACACAAGCTACAGCATATAAGTTTGAAAGAAGTGTGCTTCGTTGGAGCACCTGTAACACTCGCATCAACAGCAGAAGTTAGCTTGGCTGTCATAGTGCAATGATGAAAAGTTTGTTGAACGCAGCCACCAGCTGATAATGAGCTAATTCCGAGCACAGACTAGAAGTTATACTTCTTTTTGTGATGCTTGAACATATGCTTGAACAGGGTACACCTTAGCATTTGCCTTGTCAAAGGTATTTCTCCATGTTGAACTTGATCTGAGGTGTACTCTGATTTAAGCATTGATAAGAAATTTTATGACATTGATGCTATCTAAGTTCATTGGCGGAGAGCTCGAACATTCTCATTGAATGTTTGTCATGGGCTAGAATTCTGGTGGTGAAATGTGGAGAGACCGAAATATTGGCAAAGTCACTAAAGAGTACAGCATTTTTGTACTCGGCTTAGCGTAGTCCGCAGCCGTATTTACCCGGCCTTTACCCTGCAAATGGCGAGTGCCACTCGACGGGGCCGGGTGGCGCACGAAAGTCACTCTTTCTTGACCTGGTGCCCCAAACCGAAAAAATAGCTCTGTTGTCGGGCAGCCCCTGCTTGTTTGTTATCCCTCAATCGAACCAACTTATACACGATGTGTTTGCACAGGTGGTTCGTTGGAGCACCTGGTTCGAGATTCCAGTTAGAAACTATAGGACGGTCATACTATTCCGTTGACCCCGTCAATACGGTTAATCATGCTCAGACGCGGTTTAGGCTTTCACCGCTGTAGACCGAAAACTATCTCGGCCTTAGTAGCATCTGCTAGTTTATCGTCGTTGCATCCAGTGGAGTCGGTTGGAGATCGACGATGAACCATGCACTCTGGTTCTTAGCAAGATTGACGTCTTGAGGTTCTTATAGTGAGCCGACTGACTGCAGGAGTTCTCCAAGCAATCAGTATCCCTTAACGAGCGGCTCATTATGTCGCGTACGCACGCGTCGGGCCCTGGCTTCGTCGCCAGGCGGCTCCAAGCGGCTCTCACTCGTCGCATTCTGCCTGTCGCCGTCGCGCTGACCGTCGCTTACTTGGCGATCTTCGAGCTGCGACCCAGCTTGCTCTCCTCGGACACCGCACAGTCCTCTGAATCGCCCCCTTTCCCGCAAAGCGGCTGCGAGACGGCGAGGAATTGTCACGGCACACTGCTGGACAGATATGTTTATACCGCGGATACGGAATTCGGGTGAGTTTTCAACGGTTGCATACAGCAAAAACCATTCTTCGTTGCAGAAGCGAAAGACGGCCTTAAACTAGCCATGCACTTCCCCCTGTGCCATGCGTGAGTTGAAATCACAAACCCGTAGTTTACCAGAGGGTCCTGCTCTGCTCAGTGACCCCTTGCAGACTGAATTCTCTTGCGTTCATCGTGCACGCTCGTTATAAGCACAAGCTGACGGCCTGAACGTTTGAATCACCTCGTGGTTGGGCCGTCCATTCCACTCCTGCATGTTTCTCGCTCTGTCACGGGCATTAATTTACCCGAGTGGAAGGACACGTGGGAAACCACGTAACCGCATGCAGGCGAAGGGGCCTGGAGGGAGGATGGGGTGTGAGTGACCACTGATCCCAAACCTGCCTTGAGCCTTTTATCTCCGTTTTCTAGCTCTGCATCATCTGCGTTATGTGTCCTAGAGATATGTGTCCTTATGTAGTGCCCTCCTCCACCTCCCTTCAGCTACCAATGCTTCAACGCCACTGTCACTCTCTCTTACCAACCCATCCGACCAAGGATAAAAAATACGACCGAATTATTCCCTTTTTACCGTATTATACGGTATCGTATTATACGGTCGTATTAAACGGTTAAATACGGTTAATTTGTGTTTTTCTGTTTTGTTTAAAAATACGGTTGTTTTAAACGACCGATTTTTTGAAACCGTGAAACACTATAGTGAGATTCACAATTTGTCCTCCATACAATCTCAGGGTGAAATTGCGCACGAATGTATCACGGCAGAATCAATTTCGGCCCGGGTCGCGAATTCCACGACACATTCAAGTCGCGACATTGAAGGAAACGGACGATGGCGAAACCAGGGATTACCTGTTTCGCTACAGCAAAACTTGTTTCGTCGAAGCGCAACGAGAATAATTTACCGAGTCGCGACATTTCAACATTTGGCGAACGGTTGAAACTAGTTCACCCGTTTCGCTATGCCCGTTTCTAAATCTCGCGCCCAATAGCTAATTTTCGCCCAAATCCTAGACAAACCCCAACCTTCACGCGGCGCATCCAAGCCAGCCAATCGCCTTGCATTTCCTGAACTCGTCCCTCTCACACAATTCTCTCGACACAGCAAACACCAAAGCCCCAGCTAAGTACTAATAGAAGCACCATTGACTCACTTCAGCACTACATCTCTCAAATCATCTCACCTCTCGTTTAGAGCAGGCATTCCGACGCCATGGTTCGACCGAAGTCGCCAGTATGGGTTCATGTTGTGACGGCGGGTTCATCGAAGGACGGAAACCTCACTGCGAAATGCAAACATTGTGGTGAAACCGTGACTGCCAACGCGACGCGCATAGGCGAGCATGTCTTCGGGACGCCAGAGACGAAGAAGGATAAGAACGTGACTCCATGCGGTTCTGATGTCGCAAAGAAGCTTCGCGAGGAAGCAGAGGAACAGGCACGCTCATCATTCGGTGGGTCAAACCGAGCCTCCACCTCTACTACGGTTGAGATACTTGCCCCTCGTCGCGCTAGGCAGCGCGACATCCGCGACATGGCGGATACGACTGCGCGCACTCGTCTGGACTACCTCTGGGCTGCGGCTGTTGCGGAGAACGACTGGGCCTTCCAGTCATCGAAGTCGAGGGCGGTGCAGGAATTCGTTGATGCGGCTCTCGCCTTCGCGAAGCCATACACCCTCCCGTCCCCCTACAAGGTTGGAGGCCCGCTTCTGCTGAAATTACGGGCGGATACGGAGGAGCTAGCGAAGCCGATGATGGATAGTTGGCTCAAGCGCGGCTGCACCCTGACGTGCGACGGATGGACCTGTTTGAAAAGCCGAGGGCTTGTTTGCGTTATCGCCCTCAACGACACGGCACCTGTGATTGTGGAAACGATAGACTCGAAAACCGCCAAGAAAACCGGCGGGTATCTTGCCAAGCTCCTCCGCAATTCCATTGTCAAGGTGGGGGACAAGACTGTCGTCTAGGTTGTCATGGACAACGCGGCTAATAATCGAAGGGCGGCAGACATTTTGCGCGACGAATACCCAGGCGTCTTCTTCAACAACTGCGCCGCGCATGTACTCGACCTCATGCTTCACGATTTCGGGAAAATTCGTGCGGTGAAGCGGGTCATTAGCCAGGTGAACCGCGTGGTCATGATGGTGAAGGCAAGCGCCTCCGCCGTCACTCTCTTCCATGAGGTCTTTAGCGAGCTTGCATTGGTGCGGCCTGGTGCAACGCGGTTTGGCACGCACGTCATCATGCTCGCCCGATTCCTCGAAGTAAAGAGGTCGCTGCGGCAGATGGTCATAAGTGAGGAGTGGGAGGAGATTGCGGTGGCAAAGCAGCCGGAGGGGAAGGCGGTCCGACACCTCCTCTTGGATGCGGTGCTTTGGGATTGCGCAACGGCGGTGCTCCGCATCATGCAGCCCGTGTATGACGTCCTGCGGGTCGTCGACACGCGGGCTCTAGTCATGGGGCAAGTGTATGGCCTCATGCTAGAGGCCACGGTAAAGACCAACGAGGCGGCCCAGGCTGGAGGTAAGACATACATTTGCCTCCACGAACGCCATTGAGAATTGTGATTGCATGCATACCCCATTCCTGCCCATACTTACCGCCCTTTATCGTGTTTGTACTTGCCATTGACAGCCGCCATGTTTGTCAAGCGCACAGAACTGCTGTTGGCAAAGGACAAGCCCGCATTCCTGGCGGAAATCAAGGCTATCCTAGCCAAGAGGTGGGACGGACAGCTGCATAACCCACTGCACGCTCTCGGGTGGCTCCTCAACCCCCGCAATCAGTACGTGGATGAAGTGCGGGAGGATGAGGAGGTGAGGACTGGGGCGGAGGCGGTCATCCAAGCACGGGTGAAGGATGTCGCCCAGCGCACCCTCCTCCACGCGCAGTTGGCTCAGTTCCACAAGGGCGAGGGGCGGTTGGGGTCACCCGACGCACGGTGGGCTGCAAAGGTCTTGGTGGAGGGGGGCCGCCTGACGGATGCTGAATGGTGGTGGATGTATGGCGGGGAGGTGCAGGCGCTGCAGGCGCTGGCAGTGATGTCGCTGTCACAGCCGGTAACGTCATCCGAGGTGGAGCGTTACTGGTCCTCGATTGCTCGTGTGCAAAGGCGTGACCGTAACCGCATCTCCGCCAAGAAGATGACGGACGTGACTTATGTCGCGTTCACGAGGAGGGCGCGGGACACCTTTGACAGGAAGCAGAAGGTGAGGGAGAAGCTCTACGCCGATCTGAGCAACGGCACCCTCAAGGAAGGGAGTGTCCTCGCTCCGGCAGAGGCAGAGGCGGAGGAAGAGGGGGATGATGAGGAGGAGGGAGAGGTGAATGTGGGATGCACCATTGACTGGGATGAATTCGGGCAGATTGGCAAGAAGAAGAAAAGGGTGGGTGAGAGCTCCAAAAGGAAGAGGAAGGGCAAGGCGACCAAGCCTTGCAAAGGTAAGGGGAGATCTGCGGCTGCGCGTGAGGATGAGGAGGAGGCGGCGGCGGACAGCAGTGGCGATGAGGAGGAGGAGGCGGCGGACAGCAGTGGCAATGTGGAAGAGCATGTGCCCACCACCAGGAGGACTCGAGCGGGCGAGGATCCGTGGGACATTAGTGATGGCTCGAGCGGGGAAGAATCGGAGGAGGAGGAGAATGAGGGGGAGGAGGAGGAGAATGAGTAGTGGAGGATATGATGTTGGGGAGAGAGGCGTAGGGGTGCGAGAAATAAGGTAGTAGTGGCATAGCCTAGTAGTAGTAGAAGTAGTGGAAAGAAGAGGGGGAGGGGAGTATTAGTAGTAGTGGGGAGGGGAGGGGATGATCTGTAGTAGTAGTGGGAGCTGATTTCTATTGTTTGTTAGGCTAATGTGCACTCTCTATAACCGGCAGAACTCATTTCATGGATTTCAAAAAAATAAAAACGGAAAAAAAAACCGTATAAAAAATACGCCGAATTTTACCTAAAAACACCGTAATATACCATCGTATTGAACGGACCGTTTAATTCGACTTCCGTATTTTTCATCCTTGCATCCGACCTATGGCGTTCGTTGCTCTCTCTGCCCTGCCCTGCTGCTGGCAGGTGGAAGGACACGGACAACCGCATGCGAGCCAAGGAGCCTGGAGGGTGGCTGCACAGTGCTCTCACTCCCAGCAACCCATCCCGCCCTGCTGCTGGCCTGGCAGGTTTAAGGACACGTGCAATCGCATGAGAGCCAAGGAGCCTGGAGGGTGGTGGACGGGGTATGTGCTGCTGGTGAGAACCCAACGCTGGCTCAACCAATCCGTTACTAATCGATTCTACTGGTGGCACCACGTGACGCTTATTGTGAGTTCTGGCAGTTGAATTTCAGACTCCAATATGGTGGGAACAAGCAGTACAGACGGTGCATGAGCTTGAAGTGCAGGCGGTGCATGAGCTTGATTGAAGTACGTTTGGAAAGCAACACGGGTAAGCATCGGTGCCTGTGGTCTTGTGGTCACGTCACATACACTTGATCACTGCAATGCAATGTGGTGTGGGTGTCGCTTTGTGCGGGGCCATGGGGTACGGTGCCATGGGGTACGGTGCCATGGGGTACGGTGCCATGGGGTACGGTGCCATGGGGTACGGTGCCATGGGGTATGGTGCCATGGGATGGGGAGCCAAATGGGTGAATATGCGGAGCAGTGGCAAGGCCTGAAGCCTCACCTTCAACGCATTGACCTTCAATGCATTGACCTTCAATGCATTGACATTCAACGCATTGACCTTCAATGCATTGACCTTCAACGCATTGACCTTCAATGCATTGACCTTCAATTCATTGACCTTCAATGCATTGACCGTCAATACACTGACCTTCAATGCATTGACCTTCAATGCATTGACATTCATCGCATTGACCTTCAATGCATCGACCTTCAATGCATTGACCTTCAATGCATTGACATTCATCGCATTGACCTTCACTGCATTGACCTTCAATGCACTGACCTTCAATGCACTGACCTTCAATGCACTGACCTTCAATGCACTGACCTTCAATGCACTGACCTTCAATGGCTGCAGGCTGTCCTTCGTCTCGACCTCCCATGCTCCACATGCCCCTCCCACTCACGCTCCTCCCACTCACGCTCCTCCCACTCACGCCCCTCCCACTCATGCCCCTCCCACTCACGCTCCTCCCACTCACGCTCCTCCCACTCACGTCCCTCCCACTCATGCCCCTCCCACTCACGCTCCTCCCACTCACGCTCCTCCCACTCACGCCCCTCCCACTCATGCCCCTCCCACTCACGCTCCTCCCACTCACGCTCCTCCCACTCATGCCCCTCCCACTCACGCTCCTCCCACTCACGTGTTATAGTCACAATAGGCTTGAATGTGCCTAAAACGAAAGATAGAGAGCACAGACGGATTTCTGCACAGCGGCTTCAAACGTTGATAGCGTTTTGCTCACAGCTGCAAATGACTTGATTCAAATTGGATCTGGAGCGTCTTCACGTCGTCTACAATTAGCAATTTAGATTGCACGATTTGATAAAGAATTGACGACACAGCGTCGTTTTGAACGAACGGTACTATGGCAGCCACTATAGTCTTAGAACACAAGATAGGAAGAGTTACGAGTTGGGAATGACTCCCAGCTCCTACAAACCCCAAGAGCCGAGGTACAGTGATGTGGAACAGTGCCACACTGTCCCCAACCACGAAGGGTCTCGAAACTACCCTTCACTAGGGCCTACACCAAGTGAAATGTTACACTACACAAAGTAATGTAACTATCTTCAATATCTTGAGGTGTACCCTTTTGGCAAGCTTCGAAATCACTTAAGGCTTGACACCAAGGCTCGGGCTCTTCATCACAAACTCATCCTTGAGTTCTTGATGGGTCTACTGCACACACCTGCGACACGCCGAACGTTCGACACAGGACAAAATAGAAACCGCGCACGACAAAATAAAAACCGCGCGCGAGACACAAACGACCGCGTAACACGCGTCTAGCGATAACTCGCTATTGACTCGACACACACACTCGACATCATGACTCAACATTCACACACAATTATAAGCATGAAATATATATTATCCCATGCCCTCATACCATTCCATACACACACACATTCACGCACACGGACAACAAGCCGAGTGCAAACCGTAGGGTTGCACCAACAAACTCCCCCTCGGATTGTTGGCCTTAGGATATGTTGCTCTCTCAGTTCAGAGCCATCCCAGCCAGCTTGCAACACTTCCAATGCTGCTGCTCCACCAGCCTCTTGGTCATCATGTCAGCCGGCTGCCCCGTGGTCTTCACGTAGCGCAACTCAACTTCACCCGCGGTTACCATGCTCCTCGTCCAATGCCACTTCACCCTCATGTGCTTCGTGAGTCCATGCAACACAGGGTTCTTAGCAAGAGCAATGGCACCCTGGCTGTCACAGTACAGTGGGGTAGGTCCTTGCTGCTCCTCCCCCAATTCAGCCAACAAACGCCGCTGCCACACAATCTCCCGTACGGCACGGAAGAGTGCCATGTACTCGGACTCCACCGAGCTCAAAGCTTGGTCAACCTGCTTCTTGCTCTCCCAAGCAGTTGGGCCTCCACCAACACAGCATATGAAGCCTCCCACACTTGTCATGTCCTCTGGTTCTGATGCATATGAAGCATCCGAGTAGGCGGTGAGGAACAAACGCCCGGGTTCAACACCATCCGCGCCCTTTTGGCGCCTCTGTGCCGCCGCCGAGTATTGCAGCCCAACGGTCGGTGTTTGGCCAAGATACTTGGCCACCCTCATTCCAGCTGCTACCTGCTCCTCATTAGGGCATTGCACAACCCTAGCCAGCTGCCCGGTAGCAAACGCGACGTCCGGTCGGGTGTTTACCGCCGCATACATGAGGCTGCCCACCAACGAGTGAAATCGGCGCCTCTCCTCTTCACCAACGCTCTCCTCCTCTGGTCCCTTCACACACTTGAACCCAGAGGGAAAGGGTGTAGCCACATGGCCTTCACTCTGCCCAAAGTTGGCAGCCAATGCCTCCGGGTACTTTCGTTGATGCACCCGCATGCACCGCTTCTCCTTATCTCGTTCGATGTGGAGCCCAAGGTAGAAGCTTACGTTACCAAGGGCCTTGCACTTGAACTTGTCTTGAAGCTTCAGCATCACCTCCTTCACAAGGTCAGAAGAGGGTGAGAAAATGAGGATGTCATCCACATAAACCACCATGAAACTCCTCTGCTCCCCCTCGCCAAGCATGAACAAGGAGTGATCGGCCGTTGAGGGAGTGAAGCCAATCCCCTCCAACACTTCGCGCAGCTTCATGTACCATTGCCTAGGGGCCTGATTCAGCCCATAGAGGGCCTTCTTCAGCTTCCACACTCTGCCACTACCATCATCAAACCCCTCTGGCTGCGCCATAAAAATCTCCTCCTCAAGGATGCCGTTAAGGAATGCCGTTACGATGTCCATTTGCTTTACTACCCATCCTTTGATGGCGGCTCCCGCGAATAGGGTTCGCAGCGTCGTCGGCTTTACCACAGGGGCAAACAGCTCCTTGAAGTCCACCTTCTCCTTCTGCTGGTACCCCTTGGCTACAAGCCTAGACTTGTAGCGCTCGATCTTGCCGTCGGCATCCGACTTGATTTTGAAGAGCCACTTGGACGTTATCGCCGTACGCCCCTCCGGTAGCTCCACCAATTCAAACGTGTCATTCTCCTCGATGCTCTTCAGCTCACTCTCCATGGCCTTCTTCCACTCCTCAGCATCACTACTCTCCAAAGCCTCCTTGAGAGTTGCTGGTTCTCCCGGCATCTCCACCAGAGAGAAGAACGCGAAGGCACACTCCTCGTAGTCACTCTCCTCGTCGTCTCCGACCATCATTGCCGCTCCGGCCAGGGCTGTCTTGCCCTGCTTTCCCGGCGCATCATAGGTCAGCCTATTAGGGGGTTGAACTCTCCTCTTCCCCCTTCCTTCCTCCTCAGCTGCAGGGACTTGAAGGCCTTGGCGTTGCTGCGGTGTGGCTCGAATCCGTGGAGCACTCGTAGTACGGGAAGGGAGTGACGGTGCACGCTCGCTCACTTGCTGCACCTCCTCCTCTTCTTCCTCTGCATCATTGGCCTCCTCTCCCCCATTCACAAGGGAGGATTGCCTTGTGGTTGTGCTGCCGCTGCTCAGCTCCAAAGGCAGCTCCACATGCTCCAAACCGGAACTCTTCACCTCCCCAAACCGCACGCCTATCTTCGCCTCATTCTCCGCCTTCCAATCCTTGTACATGAAGTTCTCCATGAACTTGCAGTCCCTGCTCACCAAGAACTTCTTGGTGAATGGGTCCCAAAGAAGCCATCCCTTGCTGTTTTGAGCCATGCCCAAGTGCACGGCCCACACCGCCTTGGCACCAAGCTTGTTGTGCCGAAGATGCTTAGGCACGAGCGCCATGCACATGCACCCGAACACCCGAAGCATATCCACCTTTGGCTTCCTTCCTAGCCACTCCACATAGGGCACCCATTTGTCTGCTCCCACATGAGTCAAGGCTCTGTTCTTGGCCACACACGCGCTCCGCACCGCATCAGGCCAGAAATAGTCGGGTAGCCCGGCTTCAATGAGCAACCCGCGTGCCGCCTCCGTGATTGTGCGGTTCGCTCGCTCGGCGATGCCGTTCATTGCAGGGGAGTATGGCATGGTGAGGGAGTGCCGAATACCATTCTTCTTCAGCCACAACCCAAACTCCTTGCTCAGGAACTCTCCCCCTCGATCGGTGCGGATTGACTTGACTAGACGGTCTTGTTGCCGCTCCACCATCGGGAACCAATCCGTCTTCAACGTTTCAGCCACGTCGCTCTTCTTGGCCAGCACGTACACCCAAGTCATGCGGGTGTAGACGTCGACAATGGTGAGAAAATACTCAGCTCCAGCAGCTCCAAGCTTCAGGGGGCCCACCACGTCCATCACCACCTCATCAAGCGGTGCCTTTGCCGTTGCCTCCGAACTAGGGAACGGAAACCGGGTGAACTTGGCTTGAATGCACGTCGGGCAGCCAAGCACCTCATCGGGCTCCCCCTTCACACGTATGCCAGCAACCATCTCATTCTTCACTAGCTGCTGCAAGATGGGCAGGGCCACATGCCCCATGCGCCGATGCAAGGTGAGCCAATCACACTCCCCCGTAGCCGAAGTTGGATTGGAGAATGCCGCGCTCGCAATAGCGCCCCACATACTCTCTCCGTAGTCCTCCTCCGCTGCTGCCTCTGGGTTCTCCTCACCCTTTTGCTGCTCCTTGGTTGCTGCACCACTCTCCTTAGGTTCACTGAACTTGCTGGTCCCTCCAGGTTTGCTCTTATTGAGCTCATTCTCCTTAGCGCGACCGTTCGCGCCATCGTCGCTACCGACCGCTCCATCCTTGGTGCTGATGCTTGCTGCCACTTGCCTCTCCTTAGGCATAGGGACCACTGGGATCTGCCACATCTCGTTGTAGACATCCCTGTCCTCATGAAGGTCCCAAAGAATTCGATCGCCAAGCCTTGCGGTGTAGGTCTTGGCTCCCTTCGAGTTCGTGTCCATGCCGGCCTTTGCCAACCGCCGCACGGAAATCAGGTTTGCAGCAAGGCTGGGCACCCAAAGCACGTTCTTGAGGCTCACCATCTTCCCATCAGCACCCTTGAACATGGCCTTGCCCATGCCTTTCACCTCTGCTCGCTGCCCCAAAGCCGATGTGACATGCTTCACCGGTGACGGCTCGAGTTCGGTGAGCAAGTCCGGGCGAGGTGTCATGCTATAGGTAGCGCCACTATCAATCACCCAATAGTCCAGGGGGTGTAGGGTCACCTTCCCCACAGCTGCTGGCTCCTCAAAGCCTTCATCCTTCTCTGGACCAGCCGGTACTTGCGTTGACACGAAGTAGAATAGACCCGGGTATCGATCGTCGCTCGGGTCCTTGTCGTTGTCTCCGCTCTTCATGTTTGCAGCTCCGCCACCGCGACCGCCACGACCTCCACGGCCTCGTCCTCTCCCTCCTCCTGCTCCTCTACCCTCTTGGCCTTGAGCAGGGGTCCAACCATCAGGGAGTTTGTAGCAGTCGCGCCACATGTGTCCGTTTTTGTGGCAATAGTGACACTCGCCGTCGAATCGGCCGCGACCGCGTCCGTAGCTCTTGTCGTCGCTGCCGTAACCGCCACTCCTGCGGCCTCCGCCGAAGTTGCTGCCACCAAACCTTCCTCCCCCTCGTCCTCTGCCTCTTCCTCGACCATATCCACGGCCGATGCTCGCTGCCCCAGCGCCATCCGCACTCGCCAACTCACGGCGGCGGAAATCCTCTTGAAGGATAGCTCGCTTCACGTCTTCAAGCGAGAGGCGGGGCAAGTCGCGATTAAGGTTGATGATGAGCGAGGACCATGACTCTGGGAGTAAGGCCAGCAACTTGGTCTTCTTTTGGAGCTCATTGTAGTTCAAATCAGCTCCCTCAAGCCGCGTCAACAAGTCGAAGAATTTCTGCACCCCTTCTTCAACCGCTTCGTCTTCTTCAATTCGTAGTGCCGCCATTTGCCGTTCCAGCACCACCGCTACCGCCGCTGTTGCAGGAGCATGTACACCCTTGAGAGCAGCCCATGCCTTTGGTCCTTTCTCTGGTTCACGCTGGAATGGCTTGATGTGACGGATCTGACTGCTCCCCAACGCTTGCCCAAGTAAGAGATAGCCTTGTGCGCTCTTCCGCACCCACGGGCTCTTCTCCGGGTCGTTCTCGGGGCGCTTCTCCGTTCCTTCCATCACCTCCAGCAGGTCATAGTGGTCAAAGATGTTCTCCATCTTGAAGGACCATTCAGCAAAGTTGTCACCGTTGAACTTGTCAAGCCCAAACACCCTAGGCTCATTCCTAGGTGGGCCAAGACTTGGTTGCATGGGCGCCATGGCTGAATCACGGGGTTGGCCTTGAGCTTGAGCTTCTCCACTGCCACCAGCACCTCTGCCACCCCTTTCCTCAGGTCCAGACATTGTCGAAACTGCTCCAAGGGGCTCTGATACCACTTGTTATAGTCACAATAGGCTTGAATGTGCCTAAAACGAAAGATAGAGAGCACAGACGGATTTCTCCACAGCGGCTTCAAACGTTGATAGCGTTCTGCTCACAGCTGCAAATGACTTGATTCAAATTGGATCTGGAGCGTCTTCACGTCGTCTACAATTAGCAATTTAGATTGCACGATTTGATAAAGAATTGACGACACAGCGTCGGTTTGAACGAACGGTACTATGGCAGCCACTATAGTCTTAGAACACAAGATAGGAAGAGTTACGAGTTGGGAATGACTCCCAGCTCCTACAAACCCCAAGAGCCGAGGTACAGTGATGTGGAA